CCCCTACTTTGCCTCCAGCCCCCCCCCCCCAAAAGGCATAATTAACGAACAACCCCTTATGGAGTCTAGGAATGGGACCAAGGTCACCTTGGTGAGAGGTCAGCACCCTCACCAGTAAGCCAGCCGTTCTTCTTATTACATGTATTATTACAATGATTGGCTGGCATCCCCACCCCAACTAACTCCCCCACCCATCCTGGGGTAAAGCTTGAATATGATGTTGATAGGCACTGCATTATACAAATGAATAGCAAAGAAACCATTACACTAACCTGCATATGCTTAAACCTGAAATCCCCTTCAAGTTTTTCCTGCCTGACAACCAGTGAAATAATAGGAGACATGATAAGCTTATTGATGATGGTGCCGACCAGGAAATACCCAAAAATACTGACTGGACCAATATACCCTGCACTGGAATAGCACTGGTACGTATAATAGGCGATGGTGAAGGGAGAAATGATCAGAGATGCTATGATTTGACTGAATTGCTTGCAAAAACGGTCCACATCTTGAGTTATCCGTTGATCTGGATTGTCTATGCTTTGCTCTAGCACGTTCAGGTTGTAATATGAGTCGAGGTTGAAGTAGCCTTTGTGAAGGTATCGAGTGAGTAAACTTCGCCATTTTACGTAAGACAGATTACTCACATACTGTACTAAGCTCTTCCCCAAAGCTGTACCGATGATAAAGCTTAGAGAAACGACAATCAAAGAACGAAAATCTTCCTTATCTCTGGTACCAAGGACCTCGTAGAACTGACTTGGAATGAGGCCAGTATTGTAGATGAGCATTTGTTCAGCCAGAGACAAGCCGAGCAGGATTAGAAAAAGAAGAGTAGTGGTGGATAGCCATCTTGGGAAGATGATCTTCAGGCAGCACAAAAATCGACGGAAAAATAGAAGATCTAGCTTAAAAGATTTTGCACTTCTATCTTTTTTAGGAGACATCTTTCTAATCTCTGGTACCGCACGTGAGTGATCCTTCTTAACCCAGGAAGCCCAAAGCTAAGGTTATCATATTTCTCGACTTAATGTCTTATACGGCCAGAACTTTTCTAAAACCCTTCGATAATTGTTTAAAACTTTTTTCAATAGAGATCAATTTTTTCACAAAATAGATCATTCAAAGCAATGAAATTCTACAGCTTTGGTAATTTAAAAAAAAGAAAAAATACTCTACGTACCCCTCCCCCACAAAGAAATTATTTTGGATAAAACTGCTGATCTATCATATCGCTGGCTCTTTCCTTCAACAAAATGGTGGACAAGATGGCGGCATTTTTTCCTCGTGGTAAAATTTCACACCAGATTTTCTCCGTCCTTAGACGCCGCTTGTCCACAGTCGCTGCAGCAGAAAAACCGACCACAACTCAAAAAGGTATCCCATTCATAGTTCCTCGCCATACCATTAAAAAAGCTTTAATTGTACATCCTAAATCAAGAGCTTTTCAGCCCAGCCTCAAACATCAGTGGCTCACCAAGACAATCCTCAACCAAGGTCTACCAGAATCGTGCCTTGAAAATTCCAATCTTTTTCCTGAAGAGATTCAGAAATCAGTAGATATATTCCAAAGCTCTCTGATTCAACAACTTGGTTTCCAAAAAGAACTTAAAAAGCACAAGACAAATTTTGAAGAAGAAGTCAAACTTGGGATATTTCAGGATATTCTAAGAATATGTTGGGGATTTTCGAATAAATGTTCTAGACTTCGTGAAAGCTTTTTAGATGTAAGCCCTAAAATCCATACTCATTGGGTAAGAGGGCATGAGTTTTGCCAGTTGGTTTATCATCCCGACTTGGTATTGTGGACAAATGAACCTAATGTTATTTACAAAAAAGGTAAGCTTATTTATGATTTTTAAAAAATAATTAATGTACTTCCCCATAGTTATGAACATATTTTAATTTGTGCAAAGGAATTGTTTATCAATATTGCTTAAGAGTAGACCCTTTTAGCTTGGACGTAATGTTTTCCCATTGCATACCATGTGCATTCTTCATTGTTTGAGTTGTGTCCAATTTCTTCATTCGAGGTGTGTCTTCTGTGTGCAACGGTTACAGCTTGATGTGAAAATGTATGACTAGATTTAATGCATTCGCATACTCCTATGAATTGGCATTTTGCTGGCAAAATAGATTTTGCATGCTTGTGTGGTAAGACAAGCCAGCTTCCCATCGAATTGTGTTTGTTTAATGCAGAAAAGAATGCAAATGCATTATATCTGGTCCTTCTTTTGCATGTCCTAATGTAAACAAAGAAATGATACTCTAGGGAGTGTCAGGTGGTGTGAAATGAAAAACAAATATGCCCAAGGCAAAGAGGTCTATTATCTCTGGGAGATTATCTGCTTTGAGGATTTCCTGCATTAAGATTATCCAGTAGAAAATTTTTGCAGTAGTGTGGGTGGAGAAGGCAAATGAAGACAAATTCTGGTCTAGGTGTGGTACAGCAACACAGTAATCCCTAATTACTTACAAGGAGGGAAATGAAATTTGTTAATGAAATAAAAAATACTACCCTCCCTCTTCTTGTATTCACACTCCATTTTTTTTAACCCTGAATTTTTCATAGACTCTCCCTTAAGCCTCAAGTTTTTGTCTACTGTCAATCAAAATTTCATGGGTGTGAGGTGATGTAATGAGCTGTGTCAGTTGTGTAATCAAGTCTGTATTTTGATGTCTTTTTAAGATATTGAGTCTACAATAGAAACATCACTTCCAGGGCCTTATGATTCTTATAGCCAAGGCCTTTTCCAGCATCCTATAGTCCATCTACGCAACTTCCCAGGATTTCAGCCTGGAAGAAACAACCCTTTCCCACACAGCCACACTATATTTCTTTCTGAAGTAAGCAACCAAACAATCGACCAAATCCATGCATATGGAATCATGAATATGTTTGGTGTTCTTGTGTCAAAAGCAATCAGTGATGGGAATTTTGTGGGACAGCATCTAGGAACTCCATTGACGACACAATGTGTTATCACAAATGGTACAGAAGTAGTCCTCATGTGTTATCAATTGAATACATTATCACTACAAGAAGATCATGGAATCAAAAACCTTGCCTGGTCAAGTGAGAAAATGAACTTTTTTACGAGTCCAGAAAAAAATGACAGTGAGGATAGAAGTATAAAGCTTTATGGTAGTTTTGATACAAGAAAAGATTGTCCCACTATTAATGAAAAATGTATTCAAAACCTGTTGGCATTTATTTGTAACTAAGACATGATGGTTATGTAACTGTGCATTTAGGCTGATTTAAATGGTTATTGAATTGTATAGGTCCTTGTTTAATAAAAAATTGAAGATTTATTTGTATTGGTAATCTTGTATAAACACTATCATTTCAAATTTTATTCATACCCTGAAACAACTTATGGGCTGATCAAAGTCAGGGAATGGCTAACTCACAGATTGAACCCTGAAACAACCTCTGGGTTGATCAAAGTCAGGGCATGAGTAGCCAGGGATTGAATTGGAATATATCGTGTCAGGCTTTGCAGAGGGGAAGAAAAAGTTGGAACAAGTTTGAAGAAGGACAAGAAAAAAAGAAAAGTAGAGATCGTGAAAATAATTGTAATATAAATCTGGGATCTCAAAGTCGGCCTCAAAGTTGGTCTCTCTCTTTCCAACTCATTACCTCTCTACAAAAAGCCCAAAATTATTTTGATCAGCCCAGAAGTTGTTTCATTAGTTAATAAATCTTCATGTGTGGTTCCAGTATAAAAAAAGAATATGCTGGAAAAAATGTAACTCGAAAGCCAGAGTTTTGGGTAGATATACAGGTAGAGAAGATTCATAGATGTTCTGAGACAGCAAACCAGGTGCATTGTGGTCTAGCTTGTGTACAAACATCTTTTGTTTATAATTATATGGTGTTGTTAGACCATAAATTATTTATGGTCTAACAACACCATATAATTATAAACAAAAGATGATGCTAATTATTATGCATTCTCTTAGACAAATTTCAAACTTAGAAAAGGCCTATGCATAGCAAGGGCRGATCCAGGGGGGAGGGGGCAAAGGGGGGCTGAAGCCCCCCCTTCAGCAGAAAAAAGGATGCTTTTTTATATTGTTTTCCGTTGTGTTGACGGAAGAAACTAAATTAGCCCCCCCTATAATTTTGGCTGGATCCACCCTTGCATAAGATAAAAAAAGTAGAGTAGGACTGTCTAACAGGTGTCAAATTTTAATTTGAATCTACACACTTGTCACTTTCGTTCGACATATTAAACTGTTTATGAGTATGCTTATACAGTACTGTAGCACTGCATTGAGAAAAGCTTTATATATTTTTGAAATTGTTTAATTTAAGTATTCAAAAATACATTCTTAAATATGATAATAATATAAACAAAATGTTTATCCATTTCTGCCATAATTCCTAAGAAATGGATAATTTTTTCTAAATTTTCTCACTCTACTGCTTAAGTGGACCTTATAATTATATTTTTGATAATAATTGACATTTGTATTTTAAACTCAAGAATCTAGCTAATTTTCTGTTTAATTTTTAAAGCATTAGCAAATTGTGATGTTTTGTTTTTTCTTCACACAGTTTGATGTGTAGTTCCAAGGTACAGTACATGAAATACTTTATGTAGTCCACTTACAGCATTTGATAGTTGACCCCCTTAAGGTCCTTAAAAAATTTCCCAAATATAAAGCCTTTATATTCATAAGAATTCCTCTCTGTTTTTGGGAGTTCCAACAAAGCCACTTAAGATGTTCCACAGCAAAGTACTTGAACATAAGTCCTTTCAGACCAATGATCCCTGAATATTGGAAATTCTGATGTGAAATCATTTTCAGAAATGAAACATCTAGGAAGCCAGTTGATCACCATAGCCAGGTGTCACAGAGGTTTTCTTATTTCATTTTCTGAAATGACAGACACCAAGGTATGCCAAACCCAAGGAAACATTCTTTATTAGGGGGAGTGTGGGTACAAAGTGAGGCATGAGATCCTAAAAATTAATGTTCTGCAATGTTGTTATGGCCGAAATACATTTTTCTTAGTCGAAGTTGGACTTGATAAAATACTGTAAATATATGAACTTATCATATCCAGCCTTGACTTGGAGCACTAAACATGCTCTTGTGTATGACTGCCTCATAACTACTTAATTTTTTTTTTGCAACTCTTATTTCAAAAAGCCCTGTTTAAGGTGCACAGCAATGCAATGTTTTTCATTACAAGAAGTTTTGTTTTCCAAAAAAATAAAATTCCTTTTATGTCCTACAATATGGCTTCAATTAATCCCTCTGTGTAGTAATTCAGCACAGTGATGTGCTAGCTAACAGCTGTGTTGGATGAAGCTAATTGCTACTGGCTCATTGAGACTCCAAGAATATATAGCTCTTTGAAGTTTATACAAATGTTCTATTTTGGTAATGATTCAGCTTCTTCCTCGGTATGTACTATCTGTGGAACAGCATTTGTTTGGAGGGAACAGCCCACTCTTGTGCATTTACTTTCTTGATTTTTCAATTGTTGGTTATATTTTATTCATCAGATATAACTGATGCTTTTATTTACCATCTGTTGATTCAAAATTATAAATATTAGTATTAGAAGAATTGTATTAAGAACTAGATGCATAAATCACTAGTTTTAAGGAACTTTTTGAATTCAGTTTGTTTTTTTAATTTTTTTATTTGGGCAGTGAAAAATTACTGGTATCAAGACTTGGCGAAAATTTAGGCACCAGAATGGACCTTATGTTCTGCCAAACATCCTAAACATCATGAATATGGCTTACCAACACAACGAACTTGGAGGTCTGACCATATGATATCCCCTTGCGAGAAACTGAAGAAACCCAGTCGACCTCCTCTCATTTCAAGATCTCGTAATATGCCTGTGTCCATAAGCTGTTGTGTACCTACCCACATTTGAAGTCTGTGGATATGAAAGAGAAAAAAAGGTAGGACGGTACTAAATTTGTTTCCATTAATGTTGCTTTCCAGGGGCGGGTGGGGGGGACGTTCGGAATAACCCCACGAATCCCACCCTTCCCCCAACAGCCTGGGCCCACCCTTGTTATGTTACTGATACTTGCGTATTTTTCCTTACCTAAGGTATCCATTAGAGGGAGTATAGTTGAGTTCCCATCGATAGGCTGTCTTGGGCTTCCAACCTCGTGTTAACCTTTTCTGCCATAATACTTTAGTCTGTAAGAGAAAGAGCAAGTTTTTCGATACCCAGCCTTCTCAAAGTTTAGAATATACAGAAATCAACCCTTTCGTTAATCATTGAGTTGTCTGAGAGACAGTTTTTCGGGGGGGGGGGG